GGGGGGGGGGGGGGGGTCTTGCGAAGAGGCTGCAAGGCTCGGCTGTGGCTTAAAGAGAAGGCACCCGATGAAGGCGTGCCCGCACCACCTCGCCAGCCTCCTTCATTTCGGTAGCCATTGCGTAGCTTGTTGGCTTCGACGAGACTTCTTGTGGTCGCTGCACCAGAGAACCCGCCCTCTGTTTAGAACCATCAACGGAGCAGAAGACATCCGCTTCCACAACTACTTAACAACTCCGGGGCCCGAATCTGCATCTGCTTGTCAAGGGCTACAGAGCTGCCTGCCTCGTCCATCAACGACGACTTCTGCGATTGCGAGGAGTTTTGAGGGACTTTGGCACTGGGCCATTGCGAAGCGCTGCAAGGACGGAAGCGACGAACCTGGGACCGCTGCCTGTGCGGGTCGGCCTGGCGCAGACGAAAGGCTTCCTGTTCATTTAAAGCTGGCAGATCGATGGAAAGAGACAAATCTCTCCGCGGCGGCGCCGCGCTACGGACAGGTGGTTCTACTGCCCGAACTCGGCCGGCACCCCGAGATATGTGTACAGCTCTCGACGCTTGTCTGGCAAGGCTCTGTTACAGGCGCCGTAGTGACAAGGGGGAAAGAGCGAGCTCAGGCGTCGGCGATGGGATCTGCGACTGTTGTGATGGCTCTGACGAGTGGCAGTTGCCCGGAACCTGCCCCTGGGCGCGAATTCGCAATTCGCGAGCAAGTGTGAGTTGCCCGAAGTGCAAAATCCAGACTCTGTGACAAACGTGAGCCCAGGTCAAGACCTTTGCGAAGAGCAGGGCCGAGCCAGGAAGGCAGGCTCCAGTCGCAGCCGCAGCAGCTGCCTCCGTCTCTGCTGTCTCTGTGCTTTGGAGGCTCGCCTGGAGCAGCGCCGGGCCGAGATGGAGCGGGGCATCCGAAAGCGCCAAGCCGCCTTGGCCGACGCGGAGGCGGAGGCACGGGCGGCAGGAAGAAAAAGGTCTCCGTCTCAGCCTCTCTGGGTCTCTGCCCTCTGGAGGTGAAGGAGTGGACTGGCAAGCTGGCGGTCCTGGAAGCGGAAGAAGCTGAGCTGCTGAAGAGCCTGCAGGCACGTCAGGAGATCCAGCGCCAAAAGCGAGCTGCCGTGGTCAAGGAGGCCCTGGAGAAACATCGTTGGGTTGCAAAAAAGGGTCCATGAATCGCCGCACCATGCTACTGCCGGACTAGGCAGAGCAAGCTGGCCGGGAGGTGGCGCCAGACTTGGCCCCAGAGCCTTGGCCAATGTTGCTTTTCTTCGGAGGGATCAATGGAAGAGGGGAGCATGAGCGGCAGCCCATGCACGGAAGCCATCCCAGACTTATCGGCACGGATGGTAGCCGCTAGCCCCCGTGGTACGGAGCAGAAGAGACTCTTTCACAATTCAAGCTTTGATTAGGAGAGCAAGAAAGTCTCGGAGTACGCCAAGTGGATGGAGAAAGGCGCAGCATGTTGCCGTGAGTAGAGCCGCCGCTCTCGCCACGGCACAGGAGACTCCGCCTCTGAAGAGGCAGGCGCAAGTTCCTCCGAGCAGGTGGACCGTCCATGGGACAAAACCCAAAAAAAGCCCCTCCCTGCTCCCTGGGCCTGGAATGCCTGGAATCTCCAGGTCTGCAGCGACAAGGTTTGCATCGCGAGAGCGGCTGTCGCGCGGAGGGAGCTGCGCCAGATCAAGGTGAAGAGTGGCAGCCTGAGCTCTTTCGCTACCGCAGCACAGTAGACGTGCAAGCTGTGTAGATAAAGACAGGTGCAGGGATAATTAGAGAGAAATAGACTTGCTGTGCTCGTTGCGAGAAGTTCTCGCCTTAAGGTGGAGCCCTCGTGGACTTCGTGGAGTTCGTCTACGCCTCGGGCGAGCCTTCGGTGGTCGGAGAGGGCAAGGGCGAGGAGCAGGAGCCCTTCGACCTGGAACCTGGCGAGGCCCCTGGCCCCAGCTTTCCCCAAAGCTCTTTTGAGAGATCCCGAGGCCTGTGATATACAGAGGCCTGTGCCGGTATAAATCAGCACTGAAGAGAGAGATCTGTGGGGAATCGATCCCACGATTCCTTCGGCTTGGGGTTCGCCTTCCCTTCGAAGAACAGAAATCAAAGAGACGCTTGTCGCAGGTTTTGGTGGAGATCAGGGGCGCTCAGGGCGGACTTTTGGACCGGATCCAGTTCGTGACCAGTCGCGGCCGGGAGTCCAAAGCCTATGGCGGTAGTGGCGGTGACTCTTTCAGCTTCAAGGCGACGGCACCCGCCCAATCCGCCCCCAACAAATGAGTTCACAAGCTGGCAATCGTGAAGGGGATCGTGAACTCATACACCAGTTTGTCGAGGGCTTTCGAAGGGCGCATGCTCGGGAGGCCAGCGACGGCAAGATGATCGTCGGCCTTCGCCGCGCTGCCTTCCGGATTGAGTCTGTTTGAGCTCTCCTCCGCTCTCCTTTGCTCTCACTGAGCTGAAGGTCGGTCTGGCTGGCCGAGTCACTGGCATGGAAGAAGCCCTTTTCCGTCCCTTGACGCCTGCAGAGAAGGAGCTGGAAGATGCCATGGGACTCGTGCAGGCTCCCTTTTCTGCTCCACTGCTCTGCTCCGCTCCGCTGCCTGGAAGCTCCTCCCCGAAGCAGGAAGCTGAACGTGGCCTCAGCGCCAAGGCTGCGTCGATGCAGGAGCTCTGATTGCTGTGGCGCGTTTTTCTGTGCACATTTTGCGACTTCCCTGGCAGGAGCTGCAAGGGAAGATCGAGTTGGCTGCGGGCGCCCACGCGGCCTACCAAAGCCTCAACGAGTGCGGCACTGCCCAGCTGGGTCAGTACAACTACAAGATTTGCCCCTTCGGTGAGGCGACACAGGGTCATGCGCCTTTGCTGCAAATATCCTCTGAAGAGTCCTCGTCACCCAACATCCATTCTGTCCCTTAGGTCCGGCTGGGCCGTTGGAAGGGCTGGGCGAGCGACGCCCGGCATGTAGGCCTTTTCGACAACGGAGAACGCTGCTTCTCGGGCATCGTGCGCTCCCTCCGGGTGCAGTTCGAGTGTCGCCCGGCTCGCTTTGGTGAGCCTTCACATTGCTAATCGCTTTCGTAGATGTGGATGTGAGCTGAGGTGGAGAGAAGCATGTTGTGGAGACCGTGAGGGAGCCGAGCCAATGCGTGTACGAGGCGACCATGACGCATCCAGCCGCCTGTGATCCCAGAGATTTCGAGGAAAGCGATCGAGTCCTCCAGCCCCATGAGGGGCATGTGGAGCTGTAACTCTGCAGATTGCCTTTCCTCCTTCGCTTCCTAAAAGTTTCCTCAGCCAAAGCACGTGCACACCCGGATGTCCCTGCTGAGGAGTTTCACCGAAAATAGCGGTCGTTGCACACCAAAGACTCTTTCAGTGAGTTGATTGTCCAAACGCTCTCGTCTGTGTGGGTCATGCCGTCACCGCGAACCGCACGCTTGTGGTGCCCTTGACGTGCTTGAGGTGGGTGGACGGCGCCTGGCTCACGGAAAGAGAATCTTCAGAAAGAGAGCCGAGTCTTAGAGCGGCTTCGCTGCGTGACAAGCACGGGGTTTCGTTCTCGGTGTTGTGCTTATACCGAGCAGCCCAGGGGTGCAGTGATAGAAGCAGACCTGACACTGAAAGCACAGCCGCTGTCCTTTGTTGATTGGATGGTACTCCTTCACAGCTGCTGCCGGCGGGCCCGGGGCGTTCCGTGCACGGTCTTCCCGAGATTCGATGCGCCTGGGCGGCCTGAACTGAGCTGAGCGCGAGTCAGCGCAAGTGACATGGCTTCGTCTTGACGGTGAGCCGATGCCGCCGGGACTTGGCAGGTTGAGCTCCCTCTCGTCCAATCACAGTACGCCGGACGGCACTGCTCCGCCGTCACAGAGACATGCAGTGGTCTTTCCGGTGCCAACGCTCTTGACACCGACAAAAGCAGGGCGGCAAGAAGAGGCCCTGAAGGCCCCCAAACCGGCCAGTGCCTCGCCGGCCTCGAAAGTCGAGGACTCCGCTGCTCTTCAGCTGCGCGAGGAGCTCCGTGGCATTTCCCGGCAGTTGGAGCTCCTGGGCTCCCAAGTGGATTGGTGCGCACTGAAGCGGCGGCTCTTCCTGCTCATCGCAGAGGCTGGAGTTTCCTTCCCGCTCAGAGAGAGCTGTTCGGTGTAGCCAACTTTTGGTTGTTCCGTAGCCGAGGAGCCTGCAGGATGACTTCTCAGCTCGATGCACCAATGAATCTTCGCCAGGCCTTGGCCGCAGACTCCGCTCTGGACTCCACGGAAAGGAAGTCTGCGGCCAAGGTCTGGCGAAGAGTCAGAAGTGCATCGATCCGAGAGGCGACATCAAGGCTGCAGGGACCTCCGAGGCTAAGGCGGCTAAGGTGAGGCCCCACAGGTTCGTAGCGTGCACGAGAAGTTCCCGGCATCTGCATTTCGGTTTCCCCACTCCTCACCCTCCTCTGAAGTGATACTGGCCCAGCTGCCCGGCAAGCATCACTGCGGGGAAGTTGATCCAAAACAGAGCAGTGGAAGTGAGGGGTGTCAGACCCCAGCTGGGAGGAGGTGCATAGCAAGACGCAGTTTGCGTGTTGGGCGGACTGAGTGAAGGATCACATTTGCACAGTACGGCCTTCTCAGCTCCAGCGTTCCGCATCCATTCAGTGCATGCTCACCATGTCGTGACAATCGCGAAGCTGGTGAGAACCGTGTGAGCTTCTTCAGCGACTTCTGTGGGACTGGATTGATAATCCGTATGTAGCGCATGTTAAGGACGCATATTTGCGTCAGAGCATCATCAGGCTATACAGGCTGAGCTCAAGGCAGGCACGTGCAAGCTGAAGACATGGCAAAAGTGTCAACTAGCTAACGTATTTGCCTAGGGCAGTTTGACGGAGCCCTGAGTGGTCTGTCATGAGAGTGTTGGTCGCACGTGTTTAGGCGTTCGGTCGAGTGGCAGCCAGTCATGCGAATGTTTGCAGGTGGAGAGGCAGATGGTGCAGCCGCAGGGTCCGCAGGGCTTCTCGCGCGACTTGACGCCGTCTCCGTCTCCTGGAGCATTGCGATCTGCTGTGGAGGCCCAGGACCTCCCATCCGTCGAAAAAATTACCGCCCGACCAGAATCGAGAGAAGCTACGTTGAGTAAGCCACGTTCACGCGAAGATCGAATGTGCAGATCAGTATGTGTGCATGCATGTAGAGACACACATCTAGACATAGATACTCCCGTATACACCAAAAACAGGAGTCGTACGTACGTATACTGTGCGACCGCCTGCCATACACACACAGACAACACGGCCCTCCCTCCCTCCCTCCATCCCTGCCTCCCTCCAGCCATCCATCCATTACCTACCTACCTACCTACCTACCTACCTACCTACCTACCTACCTCCCTGCCTACCTACCTACCTACCTACCTACCTACCGACCCGCTTGTCGTTTCCGGGCACTGGCCGGTGGTTTGATCCTTTGATCCCAAGAGCCCGATCAGTTGAGCTAACAGTCCCCCGTCTCAAACTGTTTGTGCAGGTGAGGGACGAAGACGTGGACGGGCCTCTGGCCGATGTCAGCTTCGCTCGGCCTGGGGCATTGGCACTGCGGCCACAAGGGGCGCCCAATTCCCTGTGCTCTGACAGCTCCCGCTCCGGCTCCAAGCCTCGTGTCCTCGTCCTGGGCTCGAGCTATCTGGGCTCTGAGGTCTTGCAAGAGCTTTCCAAAGGCTGGGAAGTTCAGGGTTTGTGCAGCAGCCCACCCATCGGGCCAGTTTGGAGTCTCCTGGACATGGGCCTCGCTGAGCTGCAGGGCCATCTACAACGATTCCAGCCGCAGGCCGTCGTGAACTGCCACACCTCTGCGGCCTTGTTGGAGCTGGAGTCCGAGTCTTCAGAGTCTCCTTTGGAGAAGGATGCTCGGTCCCGTGAGGTCTTGGCCTTTCTGGCCTCGTTGGCAACAGCTTGTGCGGCCCGGCAGATCTTCCTCCTCCACTTGAGCTCCGACGCCGTCTTTGGCAAAGCCCCGGATGGTTCCTCTCAGAGCGTGGATGCTGAGCCGAAGCCCTGCACGCCGCTGGGATGGCGCACGTTGGCCGCGGAGCAGGAGGTGCTCAGCTGCAGCCGCGCTGCTGCGGTGCTGCGTCTGCCACTGCTTTGGGATGGCCCAAAAGGCCCCGTGCAGACGCTGGAGGAGTCTGCGACTCGTGCTTCTCCTCAGTTCGAGTGGGAACAGCCTGCGATTCGTCTTGGTCTTGACTTTCAGTTATTAAGTCCAATTAATTAGCGCTCTTTTTTTGCCAACCCAGGCCTGCTGTCAGAGCTGAGACGAGGGGTTCGCGAGTTCGAAGACTGGCAGCGCTGCTACCCCACCCGCGCTGTGGAGGTGGCCTCCATTGTCGCCAACCTGCTTCAGCTGACCTGCATGGGACCAGTGGAGCAGCGGCCGCGGGGTATCTACCACTGGCAAGGCAGCGACCAAGTCACAGAATTTCAGATGGCTCAATTTGTGGCCGAGGTTTCAGGCATGAAAGTCTTCCTGCAGCCAGCGCGGCATCCAAGCAAACTGTGGAAGAGCTGCTGCCTGGACTGTTCCCGGACTGTGCGCACCGTCCGCGTACCACGAACAATCCCCATCATCGCCAGCCTGCGTTTGTGCTTGCCGGCCACGCAGCAGGAGCAGCACGTTTAGTACTGGGGCAAAGTACCCAAGGCATTGCTGGGAGAAAAGAAGGAGTGCATTCGCGGGGCTCCGTGCTGCTTGCCGGAGCGCATGCAGGCATGCTGGCCGCTCGATAAAGTGTAGCAGGAGGCCCAAGCATGATCTGGGCACATATTGGTCACATTGGTCCTTTGAAAATGACGGGATATTCCAGGGTCGATTGATGGGATGGTACACGGAAACCAAAGCTGGAGCCGTACTGGACCTGTATCTGAATCCTGTATCGTCACGCAAAGATATGCAGAGCGTCGGGGTGCCGGGATGGGGGGAGTGAAGGAAGAGGCATGGATCTGAGCCCGACCCCCCTGCAGCCATGTATTCCTCCGGCACAGCCCTGAGTTCCAAAAGCAAGAGCTCAGCTTGAAAAGAAGACTTCCTGTGACCGACTTAACCACACCTCTTTCCGGCCCCCGTCTCTCAGGCCGCGGCAGCAGTGCCCATGGGAGCCCCTTCGCTTCAGGGGCCGCTTCGGGCATGGCTTCGAACGTGACGCTTCCTGGTGGGTCCATGCGGAGCCAGGGCCCAGGCCCGAGCTTCGCAGGCTCCGGGCACCTGCGGAGCTTGTCAGGACCCAGCCGCCTGCTTCGGCCTTTTACAGAAAAGGGGTGACCCCTCCCGATTGCGGAGGACTGCCGTCGGATGGCGAGGAGAGTCCGGAAGCCATGGCTCACTGGCAGACCATGGTCGGGGGGCCCATCACGTGCATTGCGATTGCGATTGTTGCGGCCACCCGGCAGCGAGTCTTTGACGCTAGGTGGACAGCGGCTGGATCACGGACCAGGTGCAGGCGGGTGAGGTGAGCATCTCAGGCTGTGCCTTAAAGCTGGGGTCATCCAGCTGAGGTGCACATCAGCAAGCTGCTTGACCTGCTACCGCCTCGACATTGGGCTGAAAAAGTGGAGCTTTCGAGATGGACAAAGTTCGCTCGAGAGGCCACGGGAGTTCCGCGATGGCCGGCCCCTGCGGTACAACTTGCTGGCCTCGGACGAGGAGAAGGTCTTGGGGAAACTGGAAAAGCCAGGGACCCAGCAAGTCTCCCCAGTCGGGCCCGGGCTCCGGACGGCTCTCTGAGCCTGAGAGGCTTGGAGGCAAGGCGCCCGCCCAGGAGAAGAAGGACGCACGGAAGCACGGTCGTTTCTGCCTGCCTTTGGTTTTTTTTTCTTATCTCCTTCCTTTTCAGGAGACCTTCAGCCTCTCAGAGGAGGGAATGCTGAGGCTCGCCACTCGCCGGCCTCTGAGACTCTCTTGCCGAGCGCACGACCACGAGGGGGGCCGCTTCGTTCTCACCCACACCCAGCAAAAAGCCCGCAAAACGCGAGGCAGCGTGGGGATTCTGATTGAGCTCCAGTACGAAGACGGCCGGCGAATTGCGCGCTGCTCCTTGAGCAGGCGTGGGCCCGTATTGAAAAAGGGGGAAAGGGCGAGGGTCTCTCTGCAAGCAAACTCGGCCTCAGGATGGACCCCCGCTCCGCCAAGCCGAACACGTACAGCTGCTGGGAGAACGAAGGAAGCGACGTGCCAATCTGCGGGGCCGAAGGGCCGAGTTTTTATGGAAGAGCTCAAAAGGAGAGGAAGCAGAACGGGAGTCGTGTTCCTTCTGAGGTGGAGCTGACCATCTTCGAAGGGGCCCAGGCGAAGCCTCACTGCTTGTATAGTCTTAAGTACCTAGATACGCTTTGTTTGCTCCGAGGAGCTCGAGAAGACGACTCTCCCGGAAAGAGCGGCTCCCACGAGCTCTCCCAGAGGCCGTTTGAAGTCGCAGCCTATACGCGATGTGTTGCAAACGATGTCCGCAGAGGCCCGCCAGCAGATTTCCCGCCCGGCGCAGGGCAGTCCCAGTCCCAGCCCAGCAAAGCCCCGACCTCAGCGGACTGTCCGGATCTTTTTTCCAAAACCGAGAGTGCAGTGTGAGGAGCCCACCTCGCAGGACATCTCCTTCGGCTGCTGGCTCAGACTTCCAAACTCGACAAGGAGCCACGTTTGCAAAGTCGCTGAGACCCACCGCCGCTGGCCCGGAGCGGCGTTCCCCCGCCGCCCCCACTGCCCACACCGGGAATGCCAGCACTTGGTCGGGAAGTGGCCGTGAAGGCTTGAAACGGCACACTCCGGTGTCGCTGTGACTTTCCTGGTCTCGGACTCGGAGAGGTGTCTCGGCTCTTGGATGTGCCCAGCCGCCCGCAGAAGAACTACGTGGCGGGGGCTCCTGGAACTATAAGGCCCTATATAATGGCTGCAGTGGGCCGCGCTGGCGCGCCAGGTGAGGGTGCTGGACCCCCTCGGCCAACTCGCAGCCACTCCGGAGGTCCAAGCGAAGAGAGCCGCAGGAAGAGCTTCTGCCGTCTTTTGCCTGTGTTTTCTTCGGGCGGCAGATGCCCTCCGAGGCCGGCGGTGCAGCCGTCAGCACCGTCCACCTGGGACCCGAGGGGGACCTGGCGCTCCGCACGGACCGGGGGGTTTTCTTTTCTTGCGAAGCAGAGGGCAGGGCTGCGGACTGGCTGCGGAGAGGAGTCGCCGCTGCTGACTGTGCGGGTGGAATTTTCCGATGGCCTGCTGATTGGGCCCTTCGCCCCTATAAGAAAGCAGGCAAAAGGGAGAGAGCCTCGTGGAAGAGCCGTGCTGCAGGTCTTGCCAGATTTATCGTCCAGACCCCCGATCTGAGAAGATGTCTCAGTACCTCTTGACCGCCCGGGCCCCAAAAAAGCTGCTCGGCGGCTCGGCACGGCACCGCGCACAGCTCCTCGCCAGAGGACGCTGCTGGTGGCTCCGCAGACTGCGGCGTGGAGCTGCAAGTTCTGGAAGCAGTGAAGGCTCGGAGCCTCCTGTAATATCCTCCAGGGGAAAAAGAGGCCGCACACAACTCTTTCGAAGGCCAGTCGCCACATGGGCGGCAACCTGCCTGCGGGAAGCCGTGTGGTGGAGCCCCCGGCCTGCCCTTTTGCAACCGTGACTGCGTGACTGCATAACTGCCTCTGCCTGCTTGCGCGCACAGGTACCCAATGGTACCCACAGAAGCCAACATAGCATGGCGGCTGGAAAAATAACAAGCCATCCAAGGCAGCCACCAACACGCACAGGAGTTTGAGGCAGCTACATGCAGCCAAAGAGAACCAGCCTTAGATCAGTGCTAATGGGCAACATCAGATACTTTTGGGATGGGCATGGATGGGCTGTTCTAGCTCCAGCGGCCTTGCGCCGGCCAAGCCCGTGAAGCCCGTGACTGGCCTGCGCAAGCACGCCGGAGTTCATGACCTGCGGCGCTGCCATCGCGGCGGCGTCCAGCTTCAGAACCAGACAACAGAGGACCTGCAGGCCTGATGTAGATTGGAAAAGTAGCGAGAACTGGCGCAGACAGGAGAAGTCCTAGAAGTCCATAGCATGTCTGCCCGATATGGTCCAACACCTCCCTCTCTTTGTGCCCAGTTAAGATGATTGATGTTGCGACGAGGAAGTTGCGCAAGTCAGGATGAGGGTGGGGCCTGGGGGGACCGGGCGGGCAGGTTAGAGTCGGTTTGAAGGACACTGCAAGGTTGCAAGGTGGGGCGACAGGGACGGACCTAGTCTCCTTGATGGATGATTTCAAGCATCTCAGCACGTGTCGGACTGGCCGGTTGTTCTTTCCTCGCCGGTGACCCTTATAGTGGAAGCAGGCAGGCAGGGTGAGAGAGGTAAGATGCTGTCGCAAGGTGGCACGGGCATTTCAAGCCTCTCAGCGTTGTGCCAGACCGGCCGTTTCGCTTTCCTCGCCGGCGACCCTTGCATAGTTAAAGTCGGCAGGCAGGGTGAGACAGTTAAAGATACGGTTGCAAGGTGGGGCGACCCAGATGTGCGTTTCAAGCCTCTCAGCGTTGTGCCCGTTTCACTTTCCTCACGGCACCCTTAAAGATAAAGTGGGCAGGCTGAGAGAGTCAAAGATGCCGTTGCAAGGTGTCTCCTTGACCGGGGCATTTCAAACCTCTCAGACTTGGGCCGGGCAGGTCGCTTCACTTTCCTCACGGCGGCCCTTAACAGTTAAAGTGGACCATTTGGAAGTGCACGTGGTGTCGCCTGTTGCCTCTTCTTGCCCCTTAAAAAAATTTCGTCCATTCACAGAGGCGCCAATATATGTGCTTTGGCTTGGGCTTCGGATTTCTCCTGACCATTTTTGTCGGTCCCGCACAGGTTCGCTTTGCCGAGCCAAACCTCCTGGGCGGCTCTTTGCAGGTGCTGGACCTGCCGGCAGGCGCGGGACGGGCTCCGTGCGTTCGCACGCGACAGATCGCGAAAGCGCGGGAAGCGTTCGTCACAGCGCCGCATGATTGGGCAGGGGAGAGCCTCACTTTCGATCCGGGCGAGTCTTGGAACTTTGACTTCCACCTTTCCGTGAACGAGAAGCTGCGTGCTCATGTCGTGCGCGGGGGATCCTACAGCGTGAAGAGAAGCGACAGCACCTGGAGTCTGGAAACGCTGTCCTTGCCAAAACGCCAGGGGAGTGAGAGGCTTTCGAACCTGAAGGGTCTCAGCTTTTCATTCTCTGCGTCGGGCTGGCTTGTGATCTATCAGCTTGGTGTGGCCGAGTGCCTGCAGAATCACGGCCACCCGCCCTGCACCCTAGTTAGTTCCTCCCAATCTTCCCTCTAGCTGCTCCCTCCTCTCTCTCTTGGACTTGGACTGCCGGTTGGGTTGAAGAATTGCCCTGATCCCAGGCATTGCCAAGAACCCCTATGTGCGTGTATCCGGAGCCTCTGGCGGTGCGTTGGCCGCCTGCATCATGATGTACGGCGCCGACCCCCGGAAGCCCTTGGAGGTGCTGCTGCAGTCTGCGCAGATCCTCCACGCCCGGCCCGAGAAAGCCTTCTTGCTCCGGAAGTTCGTGCTTAAGGCGATGCAGGAGATCCTGCAGGATGGCTCCTCGTGCGTTTTTGCTGGGCAACACGCTTGAGAGAGAGAGAAAGAATGTAGAAATAGCATGGAATAGCAAAAAGCCTTGAACAAGAATTCCGCTTTCATCCCAGGTTCCTTTCAACATCCAGTCTTTGAGTCCCGTCGTCTGGAGATTGGGGTCTCCTCTACCCAGAACAAGGGCCCCGGCCGCTTCATCAACATGATGTTGAACGGCCGGGAGCATCGGCTCAAGAATTTCAGCAGCACGGCCGACGTGGCTGTGGCCTTGCTGGTGTCCTTAGCTGAACTTAGAGGCAGTTGCTACCTCCGTAGGTCCTCCATAGGCTACTCCGGGGGTCATGTGACACGATCACTGCCCCGGTCGCAAAAGGCATCCTCCACCTGCGGGATCTCTGGGCTCCCCTTCACCTTCCACGACGAGGAGGGCGAAGAACGGCAGGTCGCCGACGGCGCCTTCAAGAACTTCCTGCCCACTTTGGATGAGAATTCGATAACGGTGAAGCCCTTCTGTGCAGGAGTGGACGTCTTGAAACTGACGGGGCAACGAGCGGACATCGGGCCCTCCGAGTTTGTGCCCGGCTCCTTCGGGGTCTTCCCGCCGCCTCCAACGCTGTTGCAGCACCTCTACGAGCTCGGCTACCGGGACACGGAGACCTGGCTCCAGCTTCACTTGGAGGAACGCCTGAGAGACGTTGCCAAGACGGCCGAAGCGGAGGCCGTCGGGGTGGGGGCCCGGGGCTTCTCTTGTTCATGGGATAGTCTCCTGAGCGCTGCAAGGCTGACCTGCCGCCCGTGGCCTTCAGCTGCGAGAATGAGGGCATGCTTTGGCACAAGGAGGTCCTGCAACGAGTCCCTGTGAAGTGGGCGGATGCTTGGCAGAATCCAGCACGGCCACCTGGCGGCGTGTAATTTGAAGCCGCATGGAGGACATGTTGAATTCCCGCAACTTCCTCGCGGACAAGACTCCCCAGATTCGGCGCCAAGGCACCGGCATCGGTGGCCGAGTGTGTGCCGAGAGCGTGCCGCCGTCAGAGGCATGTTGGAGCTGGCCGATCTCAGCTTCGTGGGATTCGACGGGCAAACAGCCGAGGCTCGCGGCCCAAGAGAGCCGAGCCTGGTCCCATGGTGCATGACAGTGCCATGGATGCCAGGCCGCTCCTTGGGAAGTGACCGGCGTGAGGAGGTGGATGGTGCCGCCCGGCCTGGCTCCCCCATATCTGCAGCTGCGTCTGAGTTCGAGAGTCAAGGTTGACGGAGCTGGATATGCGATGGCAGGAAAGCGAGAAGGAGAACGCAGATCTGAAGCTTGGTTTCAGCTTCGCCGTGTTCATGCCGTCTCACTGCGCATGACAATGCTGACGCTAAGGAGTCACGACGAGGACCAGCAGAGGGAGCCTTTTCACAAAGAGGCACAACTCCCGTCGCTGCAGACACCTGGCAGCCGAGGTGGAGTGGATGATCCAGGAGTTGCAAGTTCCCTCCGTTTCGGCTGGCTCCAAGCAAGGGTCACAGGAGGCGTTCCTACGCAGGAGCGGGCCTCGGCGCAATTCCGGGATCGAGTCCAGAGCTGCTCGCTGCAGGCTCACGTGCGGCCGGGTCCACCTCTCCTGGATATCGGACGCATACATCGACGAGCATTGCCGAAGATGCTCCGTGGACACGCCAGAGAGGCATTTCGTGGTGAGCACCGCCGCTTTGCACAGAACCAGACCGACAGGTTTCAGCAGCTGTCATGCAGGCAGATTCCGATGCCATGCAAGACCCGAGGTGAACTACTCCCTGACTCTCAGGGCCGCATCTCATGAGGATGCGATCGCCTGGACCACGGCGCTGCAGGACGCGATCGCAGAAACTCGGGACTACGACCCTTGGGCGGCCAAGGGCAAAAGCAAGGGCAGCACCATCGATAAAGAGTAGCCGAGCAAATCCGAGCAATCAAAGTGTTCGCCGGGCTCGCGGATGATGGGTAGCAAAGACTCCCTACCCTGGGAAGAGCCCAGGCTTAAGGCCATTTTCCCCGACGGTCTTGGTATCCGATGTGTACAGCAAAAAAAAGGAATCTATAATCTATGTATAGGTGCCATTGCGTGGCCGGCGGTTTCTACCCGTGCGCTTTGAGGGGGTCACCAAGGTCGGGCGGTTGCAGCTTCGCGTGCTGGGAGCCTTCAATCTCCAACTCCGAGCATCGCGCTCAGTGGTCGGCCCACGGGCTTTTGCTTTCGTGGTTTCATATATATCTCTGTTCGACGAGGATCGAAATGTCTTGTGGTGGTCTCAGTTTTCGCCAAAAGATCTCTTTCTTTGCCGAGAAACTGGTGGAATCTGTTTTGAAGGCCTGCGGTCTTTGTGCAAGCATCCGTTGGCAAGACGATGCAGAAGCCGGGCTCCCCCTTTTGACCCCAAACCCCATCATGTTGCCGTGGTGCGAGACGCCAGGACGCTCATCGCCGAGGGATCCTTGAGTCCCGTATGGCCGAGCAGCAACGAGCTGCAGCCCCAGCAAAAGAGAGAACACTGAGAACACATAAAAAAGTTTTAAGAAGGATTGCAGGGACTTGCGGAGGGAGCGGAGGGAAAATGAGGGACCCTGCGTCGCGTGCAGTGTCGTCCCCCGTGTGGAGTGAGTGTCACAGCCAAGCGCCCAATGGTGGCAAACCAAAACAGGCCCCCGCAAGAGAGAGCTTGCTGGGAGTGGACGAGACAGTAGGCGAAGTGGACGTATATATGAGCACTGCATAAACTGGACGTCAAGCTTAGGAGAAGCAAAGAGGAACTTGTGTAGGCGACACAGGTCAGGTGACGCGTTTTGCAGCGGATTCCCATCGCCGCCACTGGTCTCACTAGTCAGTACAGCAGGGCACCCCGATGACATGGTAAGAGCTTGCGGCTTGCGCCAAGGCGTCAAAAACAGGAGAGGTCAGTCTGGTTGCTCTGTAACTAATCTGCTATCCAACCCGCAATCCACTCCCCTCCATCCTTCGCCCTGAGATGCCTGAGGTTTACTTTCCCGGTGGGTGCGGAGGACGGCGAGCTGGAGCTCAAGGCTCGGAACGTCCTCTGACGTAGGACTTCGGAAGAAAGGGCGGAAAGGGCCCAGATGAGAGCGCAGGTGATGAACTCCTCGGTGCCAGCAAACCAAGTGCTGGGATCACTGGGTTTGGGGCCTCAGCTGAGCGCAGCGCCTCTCTCCTCTCTTGGCCCTTGGCTTCTTCCTCTCAGGCCTCGCGCTTTGGAATGTCCCTCCGGCCCAGTGGCTACAGCGAGCAACTCAGAGAGAGCCGCGGAGTTTGGGAATGAAGCCTCCTTTTTTTCTCTGGAGCATCGGCGGACCTTTCGGGCTTTCAGGAGACGCGAGAAGCTCGTGGGAGGACCCGGTGAGCTGGAGTATGCCTTCTTCTTCCAGCCAGCAAAGGCGGGCAGGGAGGATCCTCAGAGCAAGGGCCTTTTGTCCGCATGTCCCCTTTCCCTCTCCGCCCTCTCCCTCCTTACTCTAAAAGGGGGCTCATGGCTCGGAGGATGTGGCCTTGCTTGTTGCACTTCGGTTCTCGTATACGTCCATCTTGAAATATATTGAAAGGCTTCCACAGGATCCAACAAGGCACAGAAGAGGACGGGAGTTGCCGATTTGTTCACCTGAACCACGGCAGGCATGCCAGCGTCACAGCCCCTTCCATCCGCATCTATCCGCAAAAGCTGTGGACACTTGGACATGGCCACTGCACGACAAGCTGGAAATGGAGAGGTGTGTCGCTGACACTGGTGTCTTTACCCCATCTGCGCACTCAAACAAGCTATAAGCAAAAAGCACTTTCCCCACAGAAACACAGGTAGACACACAGAGAGACGTCGAGAACGCTTGATGGCCGCCTTCACTCGCAGTTGCCACCGGGGCAGTGCATGCCGCCGCGAGAAAAGGCAGACTATGAGACTAATGCCGCTTCCCTGAAGAAGCTGCGGTGGGCGGCGTGGCTCGTGACAGAACAGCTACAGCTACATTCAAGAAATGTCCATGGTCTCCCGCACCCACAGCTGAAAACCGAGCTACACGGAGCACATGCCAGACCATGTGTGATCCAGGTCTCCACCGAAGTGCCGCAGCCAGGCACCGCACCGAAGGCACGACGAATGGGAGTCAGCCGCAGAGAGCTTCTACCGCTCTCGTTCGGCAGAGGCCATGCCTGAAGCTCCCCCGGCTCCGCCAAGCGGCCTCGCGGGGCCCACTGCTGGAAGCTACGGAGGCTCAGAGAAGATGCATAAAGGACAGGGCCCTCCTTCCGAAGTCAGATTTGTTGTGAGCTGCTTTGAGGTCCGGCGCTGATTGCACCCCTTCACTTCGGGCCGCAGAGCCCAAGCCTCGGCACGGAGAAGGAGACCTCTCTTCTCCCAAGCTGCAGAGAAGAATCGGGGAGAGCCCGAGCCCAGTTCCATTCGGTGAGCCGCCTCCGGGTTCCATGGTGGCCGGGGACCTCGTGCTCCCCCCTTTGACCGCCGGCCGCGCACCCATGCTGCTACGTGCTTGTACCGTTCAAAGCAGACAGTGACTGCTCCGTGAGGCTGGGAGGCCTTCAAGCCCGTCCCTCGTGCTCCCCAAGCGTTGCGCTCCCTTCCGGCGCCTCCGACCAAGGAGGAACCAAGGCCCCGCCCCGTCCTTCCTAGAGCCCTCTTACATCCTCTTACCCCTCTTGCCTTTCCCATTTCTGGGAAGGATGGAGGAGCACCAGGCACTTTTCCCTGACATGTTCCACTACGCACCCGCCTCGGAAAGTCCCCAGTTCCAGTCTCGTCTGATGCCCTCAGCTCAGCGTTGAGCCCGCCTGTAAGGAGAAGGATGAGCACGAAGCCGAAGAGTTCGCGCCCCAGTGGCTTCTGCTCTCTTGAGTCGCTTCGGAGAACTGGAGCGGGAGAGGTTTCAGTGTTTTCGAGCTCTTACAGTTCTGCTTGTCGTGTCTTCCGCAGCAGCGACAGGCTTTGGCTGAAGCCGCCTGAGCATGACAAGGCCCGGGTTGCCAGCGGCGGCCAGGGTGGCAGGGAGCGGATTATTTCGTTTCCTCTGAGGCTGACGAGCTCCTGGGTGCTGACCGGGACTTTGAGGTGCAAGTGCCGAAAAAAGCCGGACAGCATCTTTTGCTCCGGTTTTGCGGCAGGTGCTGGCCTCCACAGCAGCTCGGCAAAAGCCTACGACCAGCTTTGCTGTTTTGGGCGGCAGCTTCCCCCGGAAGGCTGAGAAATGGCGGGCTCCCGTACTCACACCTGTTCAGCTGGATGTCTTCCACGACAAGGTTCCTGATCTCTTTGCCCCGTTGGAACTTGGTGTACTTTGGAGCTTCCCAGGTGTTCCCCGACATGGATGTTGCTCGGCAGCACATGGCAGCACGATCAGCACCTTTCTATTTGCTCTGCAGTCATCGGCGCATGAAAAAGGTCAGCTTGGTGCTGCCCCAGCAGGCGAAGAAGGAACTCATGCCGGCATGCGCCTCGGAGTTTCCGCGGCTGTCAGAACAGCACAGGGCCAGCCGCAGGGTCCGACGTTCCCCAGGCACGGGAAGTGAAGACGCGGAGGAAGGAGCGGCGTCGGTGCCTTACATAGAAGCCTTATACTTGCAGCCTCCACTTATTGAGTGGATGGAATATCTGCGTCTTCCAGGTGACCGGGGACTGCCCGAGATCCCCGTTTGGATCCCATTGAGCAAGTTTCCAGATGAGCCCCCTGCGGCCCGACCGGGTCGATCCCGATCCCCCGTAGGTCGACGGCTGGGACAACGCGCAGAGCAAGCAGACGCGGCAGCCCTTGGCCTTGAGGCTTTGGAGAACCCCGCCAAAATGACCCTATAGACCCTATTCTTGGTGGCCTGGCGCGCCGCTTCGTCTCGGTGTTGTGTAACTGACCAGGCAGCTGAAAGACCAGGAAAGGAAGCAGACTCCTCCTCCACAGGGCGGCCAGCAGGAGCGGGGGAAGCTTCGGTAGAAGAGCACCCATGATGTTTTCGGGATGTTCGTGTCGCTTTTTTTGCGGAGCCCCACATGCTACGTCACTTCCATTCTAGAACTGCCATCCCGATCAGGTCTTTTGGAGTCAAGGATGACTCCAAAAATTTACTGCAGCAAAATCTGTAGCCCTCTTAAACTGCCGCGGCTGGCTTTGTGCAGTTTTTGTTCAGGAGCCCAAAACCAAGTGGATCTCTCCGATCTTGGAGGCCCAGCTCCGGAATGAGTCCGGAGGACACCACGGTGTCTCACGTTGTGGCACGGAGCAGGCGCGAAGCAAGCGCCGGCGTGCGAAGCTCAAGGCGGGATGTCTTGATCCAACCCTTTCGGTGTTCGGCAGACGGAGCCGTCCCAGAAGAGAGCAAGGCCTAGATCCCAAGCGCGTCGTTTTGGTCGGCATGCTGAGAGGTGGAGCGGGAGCTGGTGCGGCCGGAGCAGGCGGGAAGAGCTGCGGCGGAAGAGCCGCGAGAAAACTCGGCTCATTGGTGCGTTTCCCCCGGGCGCTTCTACGAGGCCCTCGACATCGATCAGCAGCTGCAGAGCCACTCCGCCTTGCAAGTGCTCTGAGAAGTCCGATTTTTTGCATGTCCCGGGCACTGAGGTCCTGAGATGCTCTGCCTGGATCCCGCACTTCAACCTCAGCAATACAAAGCCCAGGCTGGCGCAGCCTGCGGGGAGTTTTAGCTGCAGCTGTTGTTTCCTTGCGTGTTGGAGGTTGTGAGCCACCTGGAGCCTGAAGACGAGGAAAGACGTGTTTGGGCTGGGAGCCCTTCGGAGCCACTGCCTTCTTGCTCAGCCACCACGTCTTGTGCTGTAGGTGCGAAGGCCTGGATCGGACCCAACCGTCATGGAGGCGCTGCACCGAAACAAGACAACAAACCCCTGCAACCCTGTTGCTGATAGCTTGTCCTGTTGCAAACACTGAGCGCAAGAAAGCGCCCAAAGGTGGCGTCATGAAGCCACAATCTGCAAAGATACGGTGACATCGGGCAGCATCTCCCGGACAACGCAAGACAGAGCCAGCAAAACAGAAACGCAGCGGAGCTGGCTAGCTGGGATCCCTGGCAATGGATGACCTGAGCATCAACATTTCTGGTCTGGCCCCAGGTGCGGCTCGCACCATCCAGGCCCTCGGGCGGAAACCTGCGTCGGACCGTCCTTCAAAGAGGAAGGCGAAGCCTTTGACAGGGCGGAAGAAGAACCCGACAGAGAGGCTCCAGGAAAAGGAGCCACCCTCCACAGCCTCCCGCGCGAAGCGGAAGCGCGAGGCGAAGGAGGCGCCTGAAACACGGCAGCCGAAGAAGAAAGAGCCGAAGCCTTCCAAGCAATCGAAGGTCCTCGAGGCCTGGGAGAGGACCAAAAAGGCCACGGTTCCTAAGGCCGCCGCCACAGACGCGAAGGCGAAGGCGGCTAAGAAGGCCGTGAGGAAACCCCTGCGTCCGCCAGCGTCCGATGCTACGTCGCCTCCCAAGAAGCCCAAGATCCGTGAGCGCCGTGAAAAGCGTGAAGGTCCCCGAAAGGCTGCGGAACTCAAAGAGAGCGGCATCGTCTCGGAGACGGCTTTTGCGGCCTTGAAGCTGCATGAGTCCTTACTTCGGCAGCTTCAATATCTGGGCTTTAGAGACTGCACGCCCATCCAAGCGCTCGCCGTGCCTCGGGCCTTGACGGGCAAGAGGGATGTACTGCTGCGGGCCCCGACAGGCTCAGGCAAGACTTTGGCTTTCTTGCTGCCGGTCTTGCACCAATTGCTGGTGACTCCGGGTGGCCTAGACCGCAGGACCGCAAAGCCTAAGCAAGCCTAAGCACTCGTATAGAATGTTTCAAATGCCAACAGCAGCGTGCGAGAATCCCCTGCAGGAAGGGCACGCTGGCCACGGTCCTGTCACCCACCAAAGAACTGGCACTCCAGACGCTGAAGGTTGCATCTGATCTCGCTCGGATGATGCCTTCCCTGGTCTGTGGAGCGGTGGCAGGTGGAGAGAAGCCCAAGAGCGAGAAAGCCCGCATCCGCAAAGGTCTCGTGCTCCTTTGCGCGACTCCGGGGCGCTTGGCATACCACCTCGAGCACACAGCCACCTTCGTTGCACCTCGGAGAGAACAGCAGAGAACAGCAGACCCCAAAGTCCTCCATCTCGAGAAAGTCTCTCCATCACGAGCGTCGGAGGTGAGTTTCGTTCCGTTGAGAAGTTTGGGCCGCCCTTCAAGAAAGACTGGGATTGCTGTATACCTGTATACTGTCTAATCAGCTTTTCGACAGGTTTCGGCATGTACATCCGCAGGCCAGCCGCCTTAACTTCTCGACAACTTTACGCGCGAAGCCGTTCAGTCGACATTGACATGTTGTTTCGTGAGGTGTTTCCCCCCTCGTCGATTATTGGCTTGGGAATTCTGCAGCGGCGTCTCCCTCCCAACCCATCCAACCCATGCTCTGGGAGTCCGCCTTGAGGTCCGCAACATCCGGTGCCTTGTGTTGGATGAGGCAGATCGGCTTCTGGATATGGGCTTTGAGCCACAGATACGGTCCATTCACAAGAAGATCCTGGAAGCTGCCAAGGACTCGGCGGGACGTGACACAAAAGGGGATTTGCACTCCTCTAGGCTGCATTTTCTGAACAGGAGGGCGAGAATGCCGAAAGCCCCACGGGATCAGTGCAGACGCTGCTGGTGTCCGCAACTCTGGTTCCCGCGGTGCAGCAGCAACTGAGACGGCATCCCAGATCCTTCTTTCGCTGGGGAGCCGCAGGGTCCATATCTGTCTCGCCGGAGAAGTTTGAATTTGAAGCTAAGGCTTGCTGATTTCTGCCTGCGCCCGAAAGCCTTCTGGGCAGATGCAGAGGCACATGCGAAGGAAGAGGTGGAGACCGGCACAGTGGCCGTCGGTCAAGAGCTGAACTTCTTGGCCCCCTCCACCCTGACACAATGGTACTGCATAGTTCCAGGGAAGGAGCGGCTCGCGGCCCTCTTTGCTGCGATCTTGTCCCGGGTCGGTGAGAAGAAGTCCATCATCTTCTTCTCCACGGGAGCTTCGGTGGACTTCCACTGCGACCTGCTGCAGGACGCGGCCTGGCCGTCACGCAGCGGCGGAAGGAGGAAAACGAGGGAAGACTACGGGGCTCAGCCGGCCATCAAGAAGCTGCAGGGCCGCTTCGTAGGCCTTGCGAAAGATGCCAAGCTCCTTCAAAAGGAGGACGAGGACGAGGAGGAAGAGGAGGAGGAGGAAGCGGCTGAAGATCTTCACCGCCAGAATGAAGAGAAGATGTTTGCGAAGACGAAGATCTTCAAGCTGCATGGAAGCCTCTCCAAAGAAGAGCGTGCTGGCTACATTCGGGATTTCCTGCAAATCCCTGGAGGAGTGCTTCTTGCAAGCGACGCAGCATCGCGCGGCCTCGACTTCCCGCAGATCGACTGGATCATCCAGTACGACCCCCCGCAGAGGACTCGCTGTGTTCTCGCTTTGTTTGTGGATGACCTGTGCTTCAGTATGCCTCAGTGCTTAGCAGGACCGAGGAGTATTTGCACCGCGTTGGTCGCACAGCCCGCATCGGCCAGCAGGGAAGCGCTTTGCTCTTCCTGCAGCCCAGTGAGCTTGGCTTCCTGGACGTCCTCAGAAGCCGAAACCTCACGGACCTCCGGGAGATGCAGCTCGAGGAGCAGCATTTGGGTCGTCTCTTTGAATCCGCCAGCAGTGTTGGGAATGTCGGTCTTCCGGGATCTCTTGCTGCTCCTTGGGTGGTCTCCTAGTGGTCGTGGTCCTAGTGGTCGTCGTGGTATTCCTTGGGATCATCTACGCTGGCATTTTCTGATGTTTTTGTTGGGCTCCCTTGTCAAATTAGATCGAAGAGGGCAGTGCAGGGATTTTCTATGGGAGCCTACTGCGCCGCAGGAGCTGTTAAGCGGGTTGCGAAGCAAAGCGCCGGCTTCTCTGACAGGCTATCGGGACTTGCAGGACTGCCCAGCCCAGATGACTTCTTGCTTCGGACCTAAACCCTTCAACACAAAGCTTCGAAGGTGTGGTGAAGTAGGCGGGAATATGCTTGCAATCCTACCTCAACATCGTAAACATGTACCCGAATATACCCGAGGTCCCTTGAGGGCCCTAGATTCTTAGATCCGGGTGACGAGGATATCGGAAAACAAAGGGCGAAATCAACAAAGGAAATTCGGAAAACACGGAGGGTGATTTCCGAAAACGGCTGGTTAAGGTAACAAACGAAGACAATATCAGAAAACAGCCCAGAATCAGAAAACGAAATCAGAAAACAGGAACGAGAAAATCAGAAAACGGATGTAACAAAAAAGTTTAAAACAAAGAAAGAAAGGTCCCGACGACCCTGAACCTTCAACAAATCCGACCTCAGCTTGGCGGACGTGGACTGGAACGAGGCGAAGCTTTGGCTGCGGTCCTTTCACCCCTCGGTTTTGGCCACAAACCGAGCACCCCTCAGTTTTGTCCACAAACCGAGAGGTGAAGGAAGGCCTCGATCCTTTCACCCCTCAGTTTTGGCCACAAACCGAGAGGTGAAGGAAGGCCGCGTTCCTTTCACCCCTCGGTTTTGGCCCCAAACCGAGAGGTGAAGGAAGGC